GAAAAGGAGAGAAATGCTTTCGAAGAGAAATTGAAATACGAGTTAAAACTACATGAAACTAAACTAAAACTGGAGTCCGAACATCAAGCGAAGTTGGAAAGTGGAAGTTCGTCGACGGAAATTCATGCCAAGCAAGTGGAAGCGAAACTACCAAAACTCGTAATATCAAAATTTGACGGAAATTACATGGATTGGCAACGGTTTTGGGATCAATTCACCGAATCGATTGAAAAATCTGGTTTAGCAAACATTGCCAAATTTTCATATCTGAAAATTGTCAGACGTGAAGTTGAGTCTAAGCCATTTACATCGGAAGGCTACAATCGAGCAAAGGCTATATTGGAGGGAAAATATGGCAAAGAATCAGAGTTAGTGAAGTCTTATGTGAAAGAAATTTTGAGCTTACCATACATTTCGACAGCGAATTCGAAGAAAATTGCCGAGTTTAGTGACAAACTGACATATTGTGTCCAGTCCCTGCAGTCGCTCAAGAAGCTGGACGAAGTGAAGGGTCTTACTATGGTTACCATTGAAAAGTTGCCAGGTATACGGGGTGATCTTGTAAGATCTGACAGTGATTGGGAGACATGGAATCTTGATCAGCTAGCAGAAGCAGTGCGTCTTTGGATACGGAGAAACCCAGTTGATCATAGTCGAGATGATGATCAAACGAAGAAGCGTCGAGAACGAGAGAGAATGTACCTCACCAATCGAACTGACAAATCTCGAGGGTGCATCTACTGCGACAGTAGTGAGCACAAAGCTGTTGAATGCACTAAAGTTACTGCCGTAGCTGACCGGAAACAGATTTTGGCGAAGAAGCGATTGTGTTTCAACTGTGCGGTTGGGACTCATCGGGCCGCACAATGCCAAAGCAAAACATCATGCCAAACTTGTCATAGGAGACATCATACATCAATATGTGACAAAACTCAACCGGCAGAGATCAAGAAAGTGGTATTAACACCAAGTGGAGTGGGGGAAGGAGTTTTCCCAGTGGTTTTGAATTTGGGAGTTTTCCCACGGAATCATAACGAGAGCACTGATCGATACAGGAGCCGGCAGCTCTTATATCTCAGCTAAAGTCGGAGATTTGCTGAACAAGAAACCCTCGGAAGCTTCAACCAAACGTATCGAGATGTTAATGGGCTCTCACCTTACGAGAATGGAAACGTATGATGTTATTGTTCAATCCCTTGACAACTCCTTCAAAATGGATGCAAAGCTCACAAAGGTTGACAAGAACGAACTGTTGTCGATAGAAAATCCACAGTACGAACACGTTAAAGCCAAGTACCCCCACCTAGCACAAGTCAACTTGACCGACAACGACAAGAAAGACCAATTACCGATTCATGTTATTCTAAGCGTGGGTGACTATGCGAGAATTAAGACCAACCGACCACCAGTGGTAGGTGAAGCTGGAGAACCTGTTGCTGAATACACCAAACTGGGATGGTTTATCATGTCGCCCGGAAATGAAATCGACCGGCAAACCATGTTTCTTACCCAGACCAGCCATGTAGATTATGAGGAACTGTGTCGTCTTGATGTGTTGGGGCTCAAAGATTCCACAGAACACGATCAGGACATAGTGCATGCAGAGTTCAAGGAACAATTACAACGATCAGCTAGTGAAGGATGGTACGAGACAGGACTGCCCTGGCGGAGCAATCATCCCCATCTGCCGGCCAACAAACACGGAAGTCTCCGTCGTCTGAGTAGTCTAACAAAGAAGTTGAAGCGAGATGGGCACATCGAAGAATACGACGCGGTTATTCGAGCACAACTCCAAGAAGGCATTGTGGAAGAGGCACCTACAACGGTCACTGATAAAGAGTTCTACATCCCTCATAAGGGCGTGGTCAAGGAGTCATCAGAGACAACAAAATTGCGAGTCGTCTACGACGCTTCAGCGAAAGAAGACCCATCATCACCTTCCCTAAACGAATGTTTATACCCTGGTCCACCCCTCCAGAATAAGCTTTGGGACGTATTGATACAGCAAAGAGCGTTCCCAGTGATGGTTTCCAGTGATATACGTCAAGCCCTCCTGAAAATCCGGATCAAAGCCGCTGAGAGAGACATGCTACGGTTTCATTGGCGTCGAGATGATCTGTCACCATTGGAGACCTTACGGTTTACAAGAGTCTTATTTGGTATTGTACCCTCACCTTATCTACTCCATGGTGTAATCGAGACTCATTTAGACATCTGGTCCAAACCTTACCCTGAGGAAGTCGAGCATCTACGTCGAAGCATGTACGTGGACGATCTACTAAGCGGCGGTTCGACAGTGGAGCAAGCTACGAGACGCAAAGAAATTTCCCGAGAAATTTTACAGGACGCTACATTTGAATTTCATAAGTGGAGCTCCAATGTACCGCAGTTGGAAGTTGACGAGGTTCACGAGGTTCATCAAGTATCTGAATTTTCTGACGAACAGTCTTATGCAAAGACACAGCTGATGGTGAAACCCAAAGAATCGAAAGTGCTCGGTCTGAAATGTGACAAACAAAGTGACACATTGAAGATTTCATTCCCAAGCGAAGAAGTACCTGCGACGAAGCGAGGTATCTTAAGTGAACTGGCAAAGATCTATGACCCTCTAGGGTTGGTTTCACCGCTGACCTTGGAGGGGAAACTCCTATTCCGCGACGTGTGCGATGCAAAACTCCCGTGGGATGTTGAGATTAATAACGAACAGTTGAAACGTTGGCGAACCTGGGAACAATCCTTACCCTTGGAGGAAGAAGTGCCGAGATCTGTTGCGAGATACCAGGAACCAATTGATGAGATTGTATCGCATTCCTCGGTGATGCGTCTACAAAAGGTGTAGGGACAGCAGTTTACGCAGTGGTTAGACAGCAGTCGGGAACTACACAGCAGTTGGTGGCAGCAAAGAGTCGGCTAGCAAAGAGAAATTTGTCGGTTCCACGTCTGGAACTGGTCGGGGCTCACATGGCGACAAATCTTCTAGTGAATGTTCGTGACGCCCTACCAAAAGAACCGCAACCGTTGATGTTCGCATGGCTTGACAGCACAGTGGCTCTGCACTGGATAGTTGGGTTCGAGCGCCTCATCGGGGTAGTCAAGTCAGCCATGTACAAGGTGTTCGGGGGAGGTCATCTCACTTGGGACGAACTAAGCGAGGTTCTGCTCGACATTGAAATTCAAATCAATCGCCGACCACTGTCGTATGTTGAGGACGACATCCAGTTACCAACCCTCACCCCAGCTACGTTCCTCCATCAACGCACGTGCCAACTCCCTATGGAAGAACCATGGCGAATCGAAGAACGAGAACTGAGAAAACGAGCAAAATATCTAATCGAATGTAAGAACAAGCTGTGGCGGCGTTGGAGAAAAGAATACCTGGTAGCCTTACGGGAAAGACACAACATGACCCACAAGAGAAGCAAGTTCCAACCTAAGCCTGGAGACGTTGTGTTGATACAGACCGAAAGCAAGAATCGAGGTACGTGGCCTCTAGGAATCGTAGAAGAAACCTACCCTGGAAAGGATAACGTGATACGGGGAGTACGTCTGAAGACTCCAAACGGAACCTTGGAAAGAGCCGTGCAGCTGCTTTTTCCGTTAGAACTGAGCTGTGATGTCGTACCGGAAGTGCCAATTCTGAACCCGGATGCGGTAGAATTCGAGCCACGCCCTCGGCGAGACGCGGCGACTGCAGCGAAACTCCGTATTGAACAGATCGAAGCAGCGGATGATGAGTAGGAGAAAGGAAAAAGTAACGAACAGTGATCTTGAGATATTGACAATTATCCTAAATTTGAGACTTTGTGTTGTGTTATTATTGTATACACCTCTTATAGAGTGTATACGGGGGAGTGTGTCGGAACTGAGCGGTTAATTACGTGGACATCTCGCGTGTGCTACACGCGAGCACATGGAATACTAATTATGTATGTAGCGGGAAAACAACAGCGAGAGCTTATCAATATATTTTTTATATTCCGAGATTTTTAGTGATTTTTATTGTGAGTAGAGTGAATTTTTCGCAGATACATACCGGGGAAGCAGGTACTTTGCGAAACATGAGATAACGTGGCGGGTTGTTCACGCAATCTCGCGTCGTTGTGCGTGTTGTATAGTGAGTTTTGCATGTCCGTGCTGACGTCATTAAAAATTCGATTTTTAAAAACAATGTGCTCTATTTCCTTGTCAGGCGGCCTGTGTTCAAATTTTGCACGTTGTGTTGCATTACAAAAGTCTTTCGTTATACCAAAACTAAAAAATCTGTAATGCCAAAAAAATGTTATTGAAGAAAATGTCATTTTTGCGCTTTTAAAGAAAATGGCATTACAGAATTTGTTTAAACTTTGTCTGTTGTTAGTCTATGTTCAAAGTAAAATGATGCACGAAGTGGTGGTCACCGCGTACGTGTTTCTTTTTCAATAATCAGCTAGTTGGAGTTATTTTGTACGCGTGCGTTGCCATATCAATTATCAACGAACTATGTGTTACCAAAACCAGCATAATTTAAGAAGAAACATTTATGAAGAATTTGAATATCCCAAAATCTGCTCCGCACAAACCAGAAAATAGGAAGTTTAAAAATGTCCAACTGTTGTATAGTTACCACAATTATGAAAACTGTATCGAGCCACCTTAATTAAGGCTCCCTAAATTTTAAGTATTTTGGGTAACCCTCGTTTCCAACAAACTTTAAGTATACTGAATACACTTAAGACAGGGCAATATGATTATTTCCAGGAAAGTTCAGAGGTCTTGTGCTGTCGATATATAAACAAATTGGAACCATGCTGAACTCACGGGTATGTAAAACAGAATAGAATTAAATTTTATGCTTGTATAACGAAGTTATTTAAATTTTTAATTTGGTTGTAAAACATGAGTAAAAACTCATTGCTCTGTGCCTGTGGTCAGTTGGAAAATTTTTTATAGTAGCTATTTTCAATTCCCATGAGCATAAAATCTTGTGCTTAACAACAATAGTTTGATTTCTAAAGGTCTTGTATTTTTTATGCACCCTGTATATTTCCTCTCTGATTGCTGACGTCAATCCAGTATGGGTCTACAATAAGTATAATGTCGAACCTGCATTAAAATATTTAAGTAGCATATTGGCGTGAGAATTGTATTCATTAAATAATTAGGTGTTAATGGACAAACAATAATCTTTGTTACCTATATAATTTACTTTGCGGTCAACTGCTGTAAACGTAGGATACTCGACTAATGACTATGTGTATAATCACATATAAATGAAGGTTTATTTTATAGCTAATTCTGGTATGATCAGTTACGTTAAACTTTGCAGGTTCATGTATATTTAGCATGAGTTTTTTTTACGTTGAACAAGAATAGGGAACAAGAAATACTGAAAATACACTAATCCACTGTTTCAGCAGAGCACATGTTAAAATGAGGTGCTAATGAGTAATGGCTAAACAATGATCGTGTTATTTAACATCACTAGGTAGGCATACACAGAGACGACTATGCCACATTATGAAGAGGTTCTGGTGGTACTCGACCACATTAAGGCAAAGAAGAAGAAGATAATGATGCCAGGTTTGTTTTCATGCTTCAAATCCAGTCCGTTGCATTGTACTCTGATTAGATAAAATATTTAGCCGCGTTCTTGTGTCTGCTTTTTATTACAGAGTTAGAAATTCACTCTAAAAGTCATAAAAACTGACAATAAAAATGTGATTTAACACATTCGTTTAACCTGGAGAAAAACTTTTTTTTACTGAATCAGTAACCATCTTTTTGGTTAAACTGCATCGTGTGAATAATTGTCTTCAAAAAATCCAGCCGGGAAAAATTCACCAGCTGAAAATAGGTAAATTCAGATAACCGATGCTTCAACTGATTTCAACTATTTTTTTTGAAACTACCCGCATAACGTGCGTATTAAAAGTGAGGGTCGTTCAAAATTCATTGCTAGGTTTCAAAGTTTCAATCAAAGGATTAAAGTTGCTCTGAAAACGTTTTTGTGACCACGGAGACGAGAACTTAACGTACCAAACATTGTGTGTATACCACATACTACGTTCATGCGTTGCTAGGTTACAAATACACTACGTCACAACTGTCATTATTTATACTTAATTTTAGAATGTTCTTTGTCATTGTAATCGCCTTTAATCCTTTTTCACTCATCTTGTGTTAATTTAAGTAGCACTGCTAGAGCATGCAAGTCTTTTTGCCGTTTTTGAAATAGTGAATATACTTTACTTTCACATAGCATTATACCTTGCGGGAAAAGACAGCTTGACAAGAGTGTTTTGAATGTAGAAATATCTCAATAATATCTGTTTCGCTACGCTGGTTTACGTTAATTAATAGGAGTGATTGTCACACTAACGTGCAAGCACAATATTAGCCAACATCTAATATTTTTTCATCTTTGTACATTTGTCGTTTTGCAAGTAAACCTTTCCAGTTCTTTAACACTTCTGTCGACATCAGATTGGCGACAACGTGATACAAGTGTCATTCCTAAGATGTTGCAACCGTATTAAATTACTTTGCTGTGAGTGAAATACAATAGAAAATAAGCAAATAAATTTTAATCACCATTTATTGTGCACTCATATGTCATATCTGACAGTGTTGTGATAGTATTCAAAGCGTGTGCAGCTAAAGTCAACCTAAAGTCAACTCAAAAACTTGTGTTTTCAGTCAAGGTGTTATTGGACAACTTTTAATCTACTTCAGTTCAAGTACATTATGAATTAACGTGGAGGGTGTATCTGCGCTTTGAGTGAGGATCGAATCAGCTTTCGTGAGTACAGAAGATCGTGTCTGTACGCAAACAATCATATTTCAAATACACCAAGAAGGTTGAGCTGTTCTATCCGATAATCCAAAGACTCATCTTTCAGGTATGTTTCAATCGTTTTTAAGTCTTCGGATTAGGCATAGATTAAGATTTGTATAATAGACCTTTGATGCAAGTTTAGAAACACTTGGTTAGAAACATTTAGTGTCCAAATGAATCAGTTCACTTACTAAAAATTACTCAATCATTCTGAATCGGAACCGAACCCCAGATCCCTGGTTTAATGTACCAACGCTATAATTACTGGCCAACACTGGTGGTGTAACTAGCACTGGTGCCGTGGTCGCCACGCTTGCTTTTCAACCTGGGGACCCGGGGTTCAATTCTTTGTCGGCTTCTACTCAAGGTCTTGAAATAACTTAAGGAGAAAGTGCTGTCATTACATTGACATTAGTAAATGCTTAGACTTTTGCGTCTTCTCGGGTAAGGACGTTGAATTGTAGTTACCTCGGACCCCTATCAATTTGGCAATAACCTGTTAGGAAATCCGCACATCAATGAGTGAGAAATCCAATACACTAATCGGGACAAGAGCTGATATTATCGTATTGCTTATTGTCGTTAGCCATGTAACAATAGTGATTTGTAACTGTTCAAACGAAGTCAAAAAAACATTTACTGAGAAATTAATTTCTCGATGTCCTAGCTGGAAATCGAAGCCACAGTCTGTGGTTTAGGCTATCATACATGATAGGTTTTTACTAACCATGAAAACCCATCACGTATGAACGGCATATTGTAGAAATCTGTGCTGGTGAGACTGAGATCAGTTCACAACTCATTAAGAAACATCTGTGTTTTGATTTTGTCTGGTGAGTAGAACATTTGATGTTCTCGTTTTCTACCTGGACGATGTTAATAGTAAAATATTATACTTATTAACTGGATAGCTCTATAAGTTCTACTGAACATAGTCGCTTAATCAGTCTATCACATTCAGAAGCGAAAGCTAAGCAAACTAAGTTTGTGTGCATAGCTCTATCAGTTCTAAACTTGCTAATGCATGCAAGCAATCGAACTTTGAATCGAGTTTCGATCAAAGATTGTGAACAGCAATCGCACAACTGAACCACCTAGCTCCTCTCACCTGCACACATTATCTCGTTTTAGTGTTTGCCGTATTTGAGTTTGGCAAATATAACCCTGACTAGATACAGCTGACACTGTTAAGCTACGTAAATGCAAAATATGAATTGATGATCTTGGTTTTATTTAAAATCAATTAAGTTAATCCCTGGATAAAGATTATTGAGTTGCTATGGATGACATTGCTAGCTGCATGCAACTGGTAGTAGACATGCATCAATCTTATTACATTGATTGAGAATTCGTTGCATATATTCCCAGTATATAGCATTTAGTATTACTTAATACATACCATACATATCACACACTTTATGTCAGTAAATGAAATTTTGGTGGTATATATAGAACTAACTGTAGTACGTAGAACTAATAGGTTTCTGCCAAAACTCCCTCATCATACACAGAGATGAGATGGTTAATTTTTACCGCACTGAAATCATGTCAATGATTATACTGCAACATGAGCTTTAATGTGAAGATTATATTGTATCTGTATGTGTCATTTATGCGATAATCTCCACCTCAAGAACCGAATAACCAGTAAGCCGCATAAGAAAACTTTGAAAATTTCATATGAAAAATGCATGGTTAGTTAGATTATGTCATGTCCTTGTTTGCCCAATCATTGAGTGTTTAGACGTCATTACAGCTCTTCACTTTTTCCAACCATTTCTAAAGAAATGTGCTATAAAAAGCGTGGGACCTACCTGCTCTAGTCGATCGTAGGTTAAATACTCTGGTTAAAATTTTCCTGATTAACCTAAAAATAACTATATTGGAGAATAATCCTATTTGGTTAAATTAACCTATTTTAGGCGGATGAATAACCAGGTTGTTTACCACTTAACATAGTCTGGTTAATTTAACCCCGAAGATCTGGTCAAAATAGCCAGATTTCCTGGTTACCAAGAATATGGTAGAAGTGAGATAAATATAACCAGGAGTTTAAGCAGGAATATTAAGTTGAAACCAAATGGTATTTTTAGAGATGTATTTATCACTACAGACTATACTCGTGCATGTGCATGATGTGAAAAACGTTCAAGAATCTTGGTTACCATAAGTGTGGAACTTGTGGAATGTAACTACAGTATATGTTGGTACAGTAGTTGTTGTTTTTAAACATAGAGGACTGCATACAGTATATGTCAGATTGTCAGCCGCTTTATTCAACCGTTAAATTAACTATTTCAGACATGTCATGAATCAGGGTTGACTTGTAACTTTCAGAAAGTACTAGACGTTATAAGCAATATTATCACAACCGTTCAATATACAGCTAGATGTTATAAGCAATACCATATATTCAACTAGATGTTATAAGCAATATTAACCATCCCAATATCCAGACCGGAAGCTGTGTTTGACACATATTTAACTTAGGATTATTCAAAACTATAAATGAGAAAATTATACATTAGTAATGTTGCCCGTAGTAAATTGTTTTGGCGTGCGATCATTACTTATGATTTATAGCTTTCCAAATTAAGAATAGCCTACATTACTTTAAGGTGGCTCAATACAGTTTTTTAATGAAAGGGAAAATTTCGGCGAGAAAGACGATTTTAATAGTCTGTATTTTTGGACAATATTACTTGTTGAAAAACAAAGAGTATCTCACTTATATAAAACAACATTTAAAGAGTTTGAACTTCTTAACAAAAGTTACGTAACTATCGTTGCCATGGAAACTATGGCCATAGTTTGGCTTGAGAGGAATTTTGACTCGAAAAAGACTTGGGGCATAAATTATATTCAATTGTTCGAGCCACAAAATGTGTTATAAATAATCACATTTGCCTAATTTCACGTCGACAGGATATTTTGAAAATCACAAAAAAATTCAATATACTAATAAGGCCCTGTTACACGGTGCAATTTTTCATGCAACATGTCTCGCAATGGCGTTGCGAAACAAGTTGCACGAGTCATTGCACCGTTTGACATGCCTTGTAATGGTCAAAATCTTTGCGAGACAAGTTGCATGAAGCATTGCACAGAGTAGAAGTCGGTTCTACCTTTGGCAACGTTTGCACTAATTATTTTTAGCATTGCAGCGTGTGACATGGCTTCGTGGAACTTGTCTCGCAATATTTATAGCTTGGAGAGTTCCTATTGGGTCACCCCAGTACACGCTTTACTTTAATTAAAATTTGGCGCCAAATAACGTCTCTCCCTAGTCTCTTCGCATGCCTCTGTCCCCTATCGTTGCGAGTTGCTTGAAAATCATTGCAGCGTGTAACACCTCTTGCAATGCATTATCAAAATCGTTTTTTAAACATTGCGAGACAAGTTGCATGAAAAATTGCACCCTAAGGGAAAGCATTTTACGAAATTAAATATGGGAAGTTTATTTATTACAACCATCTGCCTTATTGGAAGGTATGGTTGCCATAGAAACGGAAGGAATTGTGCAGGAAAAAACTACAAGATGGACCATTAGATATCCTGGGAGGGAGACAATCTGTATTGATTTAATTAATTAAAGATTATTGTGTTGATTTAATTAAAAGAGACTCAATACTACAGATTGGTTAATACCAAAGCTCTGTGGGCTTCCTAAAATTCACGAGAATGCAGAATGTACCTTTAAGGTCCATAGTAAGCTTCGTTGGTTCTCCAACTTACAAACAGTCTAATTTTCTAAGTGACGAGGGAGAGGGCTACGAGGGAGAGGGCTACGAGGGAGAGGGCTACGAGGGAGAGGGCTACGAGGGAGAGGGCTACGAGGGAGGGGGCTACGAGGGAGAGGGCTACGAGCTAGGGAGAGGGCTACGAGGGAGAGGGCTACGAGGGAGACGGGGTTATAGGTTACGATACGTATTTTAATACCTTTGTAATTGTCGTCATGTCGTCATACGCATTAACTTCTAGCCGAAGGCGAGAGCTTGTATGTCTGATACAACACGGACGTGAAACGTCTCGATGAGAACATTCGTATTCTTCAACAATTTAAAATAAATTAATGATATTTGGTGAGAAAATTAAACCTAAAGTTTATATAAATCATCATGATTTTACATCAGATATACAAACTCCTTCACACTCTTGATTTCTTTTGTGTTTTCTCCATGAATTATTAATGAGTTTCACAATTAATAATAATTTTTATATTTAGGCACATCAGCAAGAAATCATGATTTGCAGCAAACGGTTACTCTTCTCTGCCTTTTCTCTTATAATTATTCTCTCGACTTCCCAAGCGTCATCGCCATACTATGATACCAGCAGCAACCTGACTCACAATTGTAACATCAGTCCAATGATAGTGTGTGTGGATATCATAGCCTTGAATCAAACCCGCGCCTGTGTTCATCCGCATTGCTTGATTTATTCCGGAGGAAATATCAGCTCATGCATGTCATCTTTAATCGCATCCAACCTGACCACAGGGAATGGGACAAGCAATATAACAGGCAGTAATAACAATACTGCAAACGCAACTACCCAGACATGCAATGCAACATGGGTTTATCCATCCAACAACAAAACGTTCTGTTACAATGCCACATCCTGGAACAAGACAGTTTGTAATCAAAACAACGTCACTTGCAAGATCAATTCAACGCAGTGTTCATTAAATTCTGTCGTATATCTTGGTGGATTCTTCAATTTAAAAGACAAAGATGGCTACGGTAACCTTCCTGCAGCAGAGTTGGCAATAAATCAGATAAATAATGACAACAAAACTTTACCAAATATAACATTGTCTCTGGTTGCCAAACAATCTACACAGGTAATATTATTCAAGATAATGCATTTAAACGTATTAGGTTCTTGGTGGCACAGAAGTGGGTTGTATCGTTATCCTAAAACTGTCTGTACCAGTGTGGGTAGTACCAATGTGAAAATTCTGTGCTGAGTGGTTATATTACTACCTTAAAAAATATTAAGCAGAAACTCGACGTTTCGAGCGAAGGCCCTTCGACGTTTCGAGCGAAGGCCCTTCGTCAAGAGCTACTAACTCTTGACGAAGGGCCTTCGCTCGAAACGTCGAGTTTCTGCTTAATCTTTTTTAAGGTAGTAATATAACCACTCAGCACAGCATTTTTGTATGGTAATATGTTACATGCATATGAGTTAGACTAGGCTATTTGGGTTAGAGGTAGCGTTGTGATTTGGGTTAGAGCTAGCGTTGTGATTTGGGTGCAATACAAGTTAATGGGTTAACTAAACACTCGCATATGCAGAACGCCAGCGAGTTCCACTTGCCGTGTAAAATCATCTGGCGTGTATACAGTAAGACAGAGTAAAATAATAAAGTAGGGCGCATTACTAAAATCACTACCACAACATTACAACCCTACAGTTGCAAAGAACTTTCCTAGTTTGGCAATCTGCAAAAGTATTGAGGCAGCTGGTGCCTTCCTCTTCTACAGCCCATCTCCATACTTCCATAGCATGTACTAAATGCTGAGATGGTTTAATAGTTCTAGTCTTGTTATAAATAATTGGTGATGGATATTTTTTGAAGGGTTTTGTAGATGGAAATTACCGAGAGAGTAAATTTATATACATTTCATTAGACCTAACAAGAAACAGCTGTGAAAAACTATAGATGTGAAAAACTATCACAGAGCTGCAGGTTTTATTCCTGTCAGGGATCTGTAGTTGCATTTTTCGCAGCTGTTCCTGGTCAAGTCTAATAAATGTATATAAATTTACCATCGATAATTTCCATCTACAAAATCCTTCAACTTTTATTGAATCGAGTGAAATACCAAAAAAATCTTGATGGATATTTTTAGAGTTTGCTCAGCTATGGTACCCAGGTGTTGTACAACTATCTTCACTCTGCTCCAACCAAGTTGATGTTGTTGCTGCCTCAGGAAAACGACATTGCAAGAACAGTTGCTGCTTATGCTGGATTAAAACAATGGGGAACTTTACAGGTAATATAATGAGTTATAGATACAGTATATGCATGAGAGGACTGGATCAAAATGCAGGAACTTTAAATCTAATCCAGTCCGAACTGGAGGTTTTGAAATGACATCTCATGCGAATAAATCAATACCGGTACTTAAAGTGTGGTGAATTAATAAAATTTCCTAGGACTGGATCAATATACAGTACTTGAGGTAACCAGTATTATCATGTGAGCGGGATAGAGCAATATTGTTGGCTAATATATACTCATGAATTATTAATGAGTTTGAGATAACATGATAACAACCGGGGAGGGAGACATGTGACACTGATACTACCTTTGTTCTCCAGTTAAACCAATTAAGACAGGAATACCGAAGTTGCCACACTTTAAGCCAACAACCCGGTATACGAAGCGATATATTGTACAACAATTGAACACAACTTGTTTTGTTTCAGTTTTCCTATGGAACAAAGGACAACAGTCTGGCGTCAAATAAGAAACTATTTCCACGTTTCTTTCGTCTCAATCCTCTCACAATTACATACAACCGCTTACGTGCAGAGTTCGTGAAGTCATTCCCAAACTGGAGTCTTGATGTTGGTCTGTTATACTATGCAGATACGTATTATCGGGAGGTAGGATTCATTTTTGTTCAGAGTTACGTAATAATTATTAAAAGTAAATGTATTGCACTTTAAATTACAAAAATCGAAATTTCACAGATTGCAAAAAATCTAAGCTATTTAATTTAAGGACGTCGTAACACTACCCCTTATACGGGATGGATGGATTCGTTTTGCCCAATAAAACTGCGTACTTAATAGTTTTTAATGTTTCGCTCATTACATATGTTAATATACAATCAGAAAATAACGCAATTACGAATACCATTAAACAAGCAGAATTATATTTTACACAACGTGATTCTTTTGTTGTTTTACCATCATACTTATTTCATGATTATACGAGAGATCAAGAATTAGATTATTTGAAAAAGATGAACCCGTATCACCCTCTAATGCGTGTTTTCATTCGATTCACCTCAGCAATAGAGGAAAATGACCTCTGTGGAGGAAAGAAGGTACACAGTGCTTATTTTTCGATGCGTGTTCCTTCCTGAGGCCTAGCTGCCTTTCATCCCATGTATTCATGAGTTGCAACTTCAAAAGTAATACCTCTGCATGTTGTGATTTATGTCAGGTGAATGATGATCTGAATGAAAGATTAAAAGCCAAAGGAATTAAAGTTGTTGCAAATGTTGGTTTCAAATCGGACCCTGCTGAAGCACTTTATATATTGAAGGTAAAATCTCTCATTACTCAACTTGCATTACAACCAAAGTAATAGCTTAGGGAAAACATTTGTTTTCATCAGCGCAAATCACTGCAGCTTCATTGCGTTCTGTTCGATTTTAGAGGGGGGTGCGTTTGCTTTCATAAAAAAATAAAGTTATATTCTGTGGCAACCATCCTAGCAAAAATACACTTTGAGGCATTTTGATCACTGGAGTATACGGCACAGTCTGGTGTTTGTGGAAGAAGCGTAATCTTGAATTTTACCGAATATTTTATCGCTTCATTTCAGGAAAAGAATGCCCACATAATTCTGACAACTTTTCCTTACTGGTATGGGAAGAAAATGTTTTGTAAGGTAACTTACTGATATGCTCGATTAATAACTAAATAATATGTTTACTATACGTACAGTATATACTGTGTACCTCAGCGTCTATAAGAACAAAACAGATAAGATAAGATCACTTTAATTATGCCTCTCTGGGCAACTCATGCATAATGATAAAGAGTGAAATCAGGCAGCTTTAGTTGTCACCTCTCCACAGCTGCAGTTGTCAAATATGTGAACGGTTTTTCCCACATGACGAAAAGGTGCTATACGTGTACTAAACATATAGATAGATCATACACAACACAAAAAACGAAATCCAAACTTAGTACCGTTGTTTTGATACATCTCTTTAAATTAAATCAACTTGATTTACGGGATTGGGGGGGGTAGTTTAAGTCACAGGGAATGAATTTTGGATATCTGAGACGGAATTTCCTGCATTGTAAAGGTACTTGGTTTTAATTAATCACTTTTTAACAATGTCAAAATATTGATTTCAGAATACTTGACAATTTAATTCAGCGGGAGACATATTTACACAGAGCTCTATAGATGCGTGTAAGATACGCAACACCGTATGATGACACTTTTCCACTCTCCTTCCTAATTTTTCATCGAATTTGAACGAATCTAAAACTACACTCTGTGAAACATTGGCGGCGACTCCCGCCCATAACTGCATGCACAGTACGTATAAAATTCGGTCAGCGGCTAGTTTCCCCATTCTGTCAACGAAAAATGAAAAGTATAATTATTTCCATTTGTTTTAGGCATTTCAGCTTGGCATGTATGGTCCACATTACGTGTGGATTACATTCACTTTATTGCCTTTCAAATTTTGGACTCCAAACGCAAATGACAATCTCGAGTGTAGTGAAGATGAAATGACTTGTATTGTTGAAAATCATTTCTCATTTTATGGAGCCTCAATTTATAGACCAAGCAATCTACTCAATAGTGAGGTCAGTGATAGTTTGAAATGGTGCCGGTAGCAATGGTTCAAAACGCGAGCACTGTAGGAGATTCAACTGCACACGTAACTTGTTAACAAGATCTGATCGCAACAGAAGCGTAAGCAAGCTTGTCAACAAGTTGTAATAATGCTGTTATTTGTTGGAACAATTTGTTACAAGTCTGTTGAATTCAACAACCTTGTAGTAAGTTATCAACAAGCCGTTGATAACTTGTCAACAAGGTGGGAACCAGCAGTATGAACACGTCCTATTGACAAGTTGTTGGACAGCATTGCTACAAGTCTGCTGCAGGTTTGTTGCAACTTGTGCGTTGTGTGTACCTGAACAATACAAAAACGACATTTCGAGCGAAGGTCCTTTGTGTAAAAGTTTCTTTACTGACTTCCAGACGTTGCAGTACTTTTTGCATTTTTCATGTAGTTGAATCTTCTGCATGTTCTCGCCAGGTACTCTCTCTTCGTTAAGTCACAATATTAGTATCTGGAGTACTGGTGCTTGAGCGGTGACGTCACACGTCCTCACATGCTTGACAACGACAGGCACTAGGATGGAACATATTGTACAATATATTACTGAAACGACAATATTCAATCTTAGCGTGACAGTGTCAATGCTTGACTGAGATTGTAGTTTTGATGAACTTTTAATATTAAAATCTTACACTTTGGGAAGTGACAAATCCTAACCATTATTGCTTTTGCATAAGTCAAGTAATGTAATGTAGTGGGTGTAAATGTGACAAATTCATTAAACTATAAACTTAGGTATATAGATTATCAGACACACTGTATATATTGTATATTATCAACACTAATTGATCAACCATGGAATCACTACAATCGATACCAAGTAGTTTTCATTTTAAACTTCTAGTCAAATGTGACATTCTCCCAGATATACAACGATCTGGTGAACTCAAGCAAGAACAGAACAAGTGTAGCACCTTATGCTTATGATGCGATATGGACTATGGCAGACATCTTAGAACGAGCTCGTCCTGTACTGGAGAAGAAAGGCAAAGTTTTAAATAACTTGAGTTATAGCGAGGAAACTGAATTGCTGGAAAAACTCGCTTATGAAACTGATTTTAATGGAGTTACAGTAAGAAATACAGATGATTTTTCTTCTTAGAATTTTATATTTTAATCTTACTCTGTCCCTAAAAACAAATGCAAGGACAGCCAAGGTCCAGGTTGGGCAGGAAAATTTTGTGGTCTTGTTTTTGTTGTATACATTTCTCAATACAACAATACACGTCACAGAACAAACAATTCTCGTTTAGGGTCGGGTCAGATTTTATGACAATGGCAACCGAAAATTTTCAATGGACGTCCTTCAAGTTCGTAGAAGTAAGTAGAATGAAACGTATCAATGTTGATATCTGCATGTACATAATGACGATATTTCCAGCATTGTTAAACTGATATCGATGATATTGGTCCTTTTGATTCTGTAGATGGTGTTGGTTACTATGCCGGAAGCTATGACGAAGACAAAGATCATTATGATCATAAAAACCAAATTTTGTGGCAAGGATTTAAAGAATCCCAGGGTCAGTAATAATTTTGAGACTTATATTTATACCGCATTCCAACCTAGACGTATCCTGGTTCCAGAGCTCTTAATGAACCGCGAGGTAACGCCAAGACACTGGAAAAATTGAAACACCATACTGTGAAGATTTTGTAGAAATTACCTAAAAAAGTTTGGAAATTAAATTTCCAATGTTTTGCACACTTCCATAATATGGAAATTTTCTATGGAGTCTTATTACCCTTGCTGTCATCCCCCGCCCACAGCGTATGGCCATGAAAGATTATTTCTAGGTTAACCGTGAAATTGTAATGACAGTGTTTTTAGAATGTACAAACGTCTTCATTCATAGGAGGATGGCCATACCAAAGAACAACTACCACGTCCAAATGGCGATACATTGAACTTGGTCTCTTCATTGCGTGGTGTGTCCTGGCAGCTCTAGGAATGATCTACGCTATCTTCTGCTTGGCGTTTGTCATTATATATCGAAGAGAAAGGTAAAGATACTGATTGGGTGAATAAATCAAATATTAAACTCTGCGAAATTTAATATATGTTTGTTTGGTGACATTCTAGTCGATTTATTATACTGTGCTCAGAACTCTTTAAAGAGATTGGAGCTGCTTTCTGGAAAGCTACTGTACATGCCAAAAAAAATTTTGACTATCGAGATTAACGCCCGTATTCTAAAAGCACACTCAAACTCAATGAGTGGAGGTTCAATCTAAGCTTCTCTTGCGTGTCAATGCTGTTTTTAAATAGCCGAAGGGTTAGTATCCTACCTTACTATGTGACTACTCACCCTCCAGCTATTAAAAAACAGCATTGACACTCAAGAGAAGCTTAGATTGAACCTCCACTCATTGAGTTTCAGTGTGAGTGAGCTTTTAGAATATATATACGGGCGTAAGTCTTGGTGACACGTATTGTACCTTAGGAAGTCCGTACGACTTAGCAGCAGTCGTTATGCAATTCACAAATTGCTCTTCATTCATGCAAGAAACGTTCTCTGCATACTTAAATATTTGTTGTTTTGTACATCAGGTCAATCAAGTACTCCTCTCCTACGATCAACATGTTCATAATTCTTGGTTGTTTGCTCAACTTTGTCGCTGTCGTATTGTATGGAGTAGATTATCAACGAGCAAATGAATCGAGAATGACCATCATATGTAAGGTATGTTATTGCAGGAACAATAGCTATTCAAAACTATGGCCCAAGGCTTCACAGTAATTTTAAAATATAAATGAAAAATACTTTTATTAATTCGGAAATGTTGCTGAATAGTTTCTCCACGTTTTTAATTTCTTCTCCTGTTTTCATAATCCTGGAAAGCCACACAGTTGTCTGTAGAGGAATGTGATGTTTTCATAATCCTGGAAAGCCACACAGTTGTCTGTAGAGGAATGTGATGTTTTCATAATCCTGGAAAGCCATACAGTTGTCTGTAGAGGAATGTGAATGTTTCCCAGGGCAGCGAGAATAGAGGCAGGTTCGATTCCTGCCAATAACTAGTTTTATTTTTCGCCATCTCTCTTGGTTTAATGTATAAAATTCACACTCGAAATTTGCATCTACAAAACTCATCTGCAAATAAACATTTTAAACCATATCCGCTCAGATACTGAGACACCCACTCAGTGACCATTACTGTTTTAATATCTCATTACTTTTCAACTTAGTGTAGAATTCTCGAGAATGAGAAAAGAATTCTCTTGAGAGTGCTGACACCCGCTTGCCAACTCTAGTGTTTCATGATCGTTTCGTAAGTGTAAATGTCCATTGAAAGGTTTTTCAACTTGATGATTGCAGGCTCGTGTTTGGATATTCTCTCTTGGTTTTACGTTTTGCATTGGAGGATTATGGGTGAAAGTGTGGACATTATATCAAATTTTGATTGAAAGGAAAGTTTATAGAAAGGTAATTTGAATCGACGGGGGGGGGGGGGGGACTTCTAATCCCCAGAACAAAATTCTATTTTCAGGGTCTGCGAAACACTATTTCATGCATTTTAGACACGTTTTATGATCATCTGAAAGCCTCAGAAATTTGGTATATTTCATCAGCGTCATAGCTAAAAACATTAAGAGGCTGCGCCCACCAGTTTCTCCTCAATTTTGAAAGAATTGAAGAAGGGGGTCCGGACCCCCATCCCCCCGTGGCTATACACTTCTGGGCATTGCCTATTAGATAATTAGAGAAATTTGTGGCACCTATCTGACACAACAAAATGTTCAACGTTTTTGACATATGTAATATATACTGTACGTGAAGAGGCAGTTTATAGAATTTTTGAAAATTGCCACATGACAATGTATGTGTGTTTTACAACCGAAACTTATACCAAGCTGTTTCGTTGGTATATAAATATATTTCTTAGAATTAACAAACTGATAATGCAACTGTATATTTCAGAGAAAGATGGAATATTGGATGTTTGGTATCGTCATGGTATTTTTTGTAATTGACGTTATTTATTTAACAATATGGACCGTCATTGATGGACTGTATCGAAGTTTCGAAACTGTCACAGATCAACCTGAATATCAGTGTTTCCAGGTGAGATTTATAACTTTCTTTCTTAAAGACCATGTCAAGTCCCTAATGTAAACAAATCCTTTGTCTACATTTTGAACTGCTATATTTGTAAAATAAGACATACTTAACTGAATATCTAACACTTTTCTGGTTCACAATTGTAAATGAATATAAACTAGAGTACGTTTCAATTCAAAAAAGTTCGAAAGATGCAAATTTGAGTAATGTTTATATCTGTGGGTCCCCATTTGTTATGAGCAGAACTGATGCGCAGAACGGACTTGACATGGTCTTTGAAATAAACAGAGTGTTGTTGACACTATGCTTTGTGTATGGCGCTAAAGGGGGGGGGGGGGGGGGGGGGGGGGGGGGTGCGGGTATAACACCCCCAGTCGTCAGGTAGTCGGCAAAATATCGAATCCCAGTCTGCAAAACATGAATTTGGATAGGAAGAAAAAATATTTGATTGACACCGATTAACAATTAAGAATGATAGCTAAATTGTGGGGAAATGAACGAAAGAAATTAGGGAAAATTGGAACGAAGAACGATGGTTAAACACAAAATAAGATTGAGAAGAGGTCTCGCCTCTATGACTGGCCTTCGATTATTGTTGTATTTCCAATAAGAATCGTAGCCATGGGAAGAATGGGGGTTCGTTCGCCACTTTTCTTCAAGATCAATTTTGTAATTCTTTCAAAACTGAGAAGAAACTGGGTGCGGGGTAGTAACCTATTAACGTTTTCATCTACAACATGAAATATATCAAATCTGTGGCTTTTAGATTATTATAAAACGTGTCTAAAATGCATGAAATAGCTTTTCGCAGACCTTAAAAGTAGAAAAAAAAGTCCATCGTCCCCCGGCCGGCCAGACGATTACACATATCTGGGGCTGGCTACGCCCCTGTTTCCATATCGCCTCACTCGCATGGGAGCGCTTCTGTGAAACAGGCAAACACCGCAGGTTTTGAATGGATCTTAATGTATTTCTAGGCGCCGCCGCCCCAGTCTGGTTTGCGATGTTGGGCTCCGGCAGCGAACATGTAATGATTTTTTAAAACATCTCAAAAAGGGGCACCTTTGCCCCCATGTAGTGACACAACCATAGTGACAACTGTCATGTATAAATAAATCAGTTGAGATTAGTTTTCCTCTTGTACTAACACTGCGCCAAGACAGAGAGGAGCTTACTAGTACGAATAAAGATTTTGTAGCAATAAATCGTGTCAAATCTTTTTGGTTATCTTGTATTTTAGAAGTTATCTGGTAATCCGTTTATCGCGACAATCTGGTACATCGAGATCTGTGATTGTGAGAACCTGGCTCTGTGGTCGGCTATCTTCTTAACGTACAAAATTCTAATCTTGTTATTTGGTGCTTACATGTCATGGAAAGTGCGCAAAGTTTACACTCGTAAGCTCGTGGATGCTCAATATTGTGCGACATTACTGCTTCTTGCTGTCCCGTGCTGTGTTCTTGCTTTGATATTCGCCTACACATTAAGATTGCATCCAACGCCACATTACGGCATGCTGGGAATTATCATCATTATCTATACCTACATCGTGCTTGGATTCCTGTATGGACACAAGGTACGTCGACAACTACTGTACATCTTGGCCGCCGAGAGGGGGGGGGGGGCAAGGGAGCTCCGCTCGCTTTGCCCCTGGTCCCCAGCTCAAACGCAATGAAGGTCCTTAAAAGCCCCCAAAGCAATGAAGGTCCTTAAAATTTCTTGATACAAAATTGCTTAACTGAGAAGTGAATCCTAGCTGCGTTAGTACTGGATACTAAAGTGTAATATACAGTACTGTATGTGAAACACGGCTTCTCCTATTTTACAATTATGATGTCATAGGGCCGCCCTGGGAAAGTTTTGCCCCTACTCCTGCACAACTTCTCGGCCGCCCTGTCATTACTGATAAATGGTCTCACATAAAATCATTGTCAATCATAGTATACAACTGATAGAGCTATCTAGCAAAGATCAGGGCATCCACACTGGACAGAACTAATTGTTGAAGCGTTTGTTGAATGGTGATTTCGACACTCGAACTTTTCAACCCAATTCACACTCGACATTTTCCATCTACAATCCTTGAACAATAGTCATATTTAATAAAGGTAAAGTTAGTGTAGTTTTAATGTTCCGTTGATTTCTAATTTCTGATTGATGTTTTGTTTTTAGATAATAAATATCTTCTGCTGTCCTCGCAACATGATCAAAGTGCGCAGTAAAGATGACAGTGGGAATACGAAATGTTGCTCTGGTGTTATTGCGGCATGTTGTGCTCCTATAGCTGCATGTTTGGCAGCAGGATGTTGCTGTATATGTTATCCACTGAGCTGCTGCAAGGTACTATGGGACGCCTTACTACGTGGACCAAGGAAAGACCGCGGATCGTTTGTAAAGCAGAATGAAAAGCTGGATTATCAGATTGGCGATATGCCTGCTGATAGAGAGAGACAGATCATTATTTTGCAAAAGGAAGTAGAGAAGGTACTTTAAGATATTTTTTTAAAATAGTATTCTGTATATTACCAGGCCACTCCAAATTAGACTTTAGTTTCCCGTCCGCCGCCCTCGTCTCCAAGAAGAGACCGTGTTGTTTTGTAACCTTTTGGGATTGCGCACAGAAAATATTTAAATGATGACTTCTTACGACCATTATTGATATTAAAATCCTGATCTCTGGAATATGGAAATATAATTATAAAATATAATTATAAAAGATTTGCTCATTTTTTGTTGCCATGATCTCAAGCTATGACTTATAAAAATGTTTATTGTAGTGAATACTGCAAGCATTCTTTACATTGGCCTATCCTGATTTCAGATGATGACAGAATTATAGCATTACGTTTTTGTATTCATGATAATGAATAATGAAAATAGACGCCCCCCCCCATGAATTTGACTGCACGGAAACAAAAGGTTTTTGTCCACGTGGCATTCGCCAGTCAATTGAATATTTCTTTTCTTTCCACCCTGGTCTTCAGCAAGAAGTAGAGTTGCTCATCCGGAGTTTCTAATGAGATAACCATTCCTCATCTTCAGAAAAGGTCAAATAGACTCATACGGAAACCTGTAGTATTAGCATTTCTATAGCGCAAATTCACATGTGAATATGATCGTTGACTGACTATGGAACCCACAATCTCAGAGGTGAAAGGCGCTGACGACTGCGCCACCGAAGCCTCATTATTACCAATAAACTCATGGTTCTACTACATGATCTCTGGATAAGTTCTAGATAAATGCGGCAAAGAAAAAATCATTATTACCAATAAACTCATGGTTCTACTACATGATCTCTGGATAAGTTCTAGATAAATGCGGCAAAGAAAAAAGTCAATCCTGTCTTTTTTTGGATTACAATCTTAGGTGTCGCAACGCATTTCTCGGAAAGTATTTCTCGAAAAAGGGAACTTAATTATTATTTTTTGTTATATTGTAGCGAGAAGAAGAGTTGAAGCGGTTACGTCGTAATCATCGAGCAACTTTGGCCGCAAAAGAAACACAGACGATGGATTACTTTCATACAAATGGCGGCGGTCACTTTGAATCCTCTGATGGTCCAGGTCATGTTAACGATGGTTTTATGGAAGAGAACAACGACAATAAACGCGGCACTGGTAGACAGAATTTTAATCGTTTTAAAGTGTATCACAGAAAGTTAGATTTCTCTCATGTTGGGAGCAAGGTATGTATCAAGTGTCCGGGGGTATATTTCTTTTTCCTATTTGTCATTACCATTCCTAATGTACTGTTTGGGTTTATAAAACCAAAACTCCAGGGGACGGTTGTTCAAAGCTGGATTAGTGCCAAACCTGGGTTAAAATTTAACCTGCAGACGTGCTGTTTTGATTCATGTATTCCCCTGCGCGTTGTTTATTTCAAAACTTCAGAGAAGAAAACCCCTACTAACCCAGACAATATTTCTGAAGAAATATTTCCAAATTTTTAAACAAGTTGTTAGGAAGTTTGCTTAGAATTGCAAGTTAACCACATAGGGTAAAGCTAATTGACTTCGGACTAGTCCCAGATCGCAGCTCTGTAACGTAGTCCTTTTTATGCAGACATTAACCCAAATGAATCGATGTTTGTAGGTCGACAGTGGACTAGAGAACAGAAATCCCAACAAAAGAGATGGCTTTCCCGTTTCAGAAAGTGGCTGTGATGAACCACGGCGTGGATCTGATGATTCAGAGATCTTATTGCTTCAAAAAACCCTATCTGATGTGAGTATATACCGGCGAATACATTTATATAATTGCATAATCAACGATATACGATATGTCAATTTACTTTCTCAAAAAGTGTTCATCTGAGTTTAAAATCTCAATGTTGAAGGGTTTTGTAGAGGAAAATTCCGAGTGTAAATTTTATACATTTATTAGACCTAACCCCTCTGGCAGGAATCAAACCTGCGGCCCTTATATTGGCATCACTTTAGTATTTATACAAGAACGTGTGGTTAGAGCTCGACAACTGTCTATCTGTAGCTCAGTTGGTTAGAGCGCTGCATCGGAATCGCAGGCCGCAGCTTCAACTCCTGCCAGATGACCTATAGTTTCCATCAACAATTAGTTTTATCGAGTGAGATGCCCCAAATCCTGATATTTACCCATAAATCTTAAATCTCACAATTATATTTCAGCGTGATAAAGAGCTGGCTCAACTCAGAGCGTATCTTGGTATGGAGCCGTCTTCAAGTACTGAGTTGTCAAGTAAAATTGGAAACTTGGCCAGTATTGGAGAGGTAGAGCCAGGTTTTACATTTTTAGTCATATTTTAATCACAACTGTGTAGGTGTATTTTTTCTGGCTGGTAAAACACCCTGCAGTCTTGATAATAGAGGGATTCAGATTTCACTTCCACTACTTAAGGGACCATTAACCAATCAGATGCGTTTGATATATCCGATTAACCAACAGATACGTACTAAGCTAGTGAGAGGAAGCGGTGGTGGAAGTCAAATCTAAACCTCTCTAATATCTTCAACTTTGTGTTTAAATCATTATAAAAACTTTATTTGGCTTGACAGAGTTAAGATTATGTTCACGTTGCGGCTACGATGGCACGAAATAAAACTGACCAATTTGGGAAAGGGACACAAACTAAATAGGCACTTCTACGTTTCCACTTTTGCAGTATTACAATAAAGATTTGTGAGGATTAAGAATAAACGAATTTCTTAATTTTGTTTAGGAACGGGACTTGCATACACCCACTGAGAGTGAAGCTCCGAACAGAAATGTTAGTTCTGTTGCCATAACGATACGAAGCAGTGATTCCGATGGAGACAGCAAACAAACAGGAAGTGACACCAGCAATGATGAAGTTCCTTCTGATGTCAACGAGCAAACTGTGGAATTACTTGGAGAGACCAAGACGGCAGCGGATCAGGAGGTACAAATGGGGATATCCCCAGATCCACAACCAGCAGAACAGGAAGTACCAGAAAGTTCTGGCGTGGAAAATAACCAGGAAGAAAAAAAGAAAGCAAAGTCAAAAGTTCTGAGTTCTGCTTACGGTGGCTCCCTGGCTTATGTCTCACATTATAATGCTAAAGGTAGTGGTGGAAAGTTCAAGAAGAAAGTTCGACAGTTGAATTCATTTGGTATATTTGCAAGAAAACCTACGAGTGACGATAATACACCTAACGTTCAAACTAATAACACCAGCAGTGTTCCTGCTGTAAACATAGATCAAACATCCAATGACAGTCAAGCGAATCTTGGTAACAGAGATAAGGTGACACTTGGTGAAAAATCTAAAAATGACGTGGACGTAGACAACCCAAAAAATAACACTTCTGGTGATAATGGTCAAAAATCCAAAAGTAATGTTAAGATATTTAATGCACCAACGAACTGGGCACACGTGAAGTCTCGTCTCTTTGATGCAAACACTCAAAACACGCTTAAGGCTTCACCAAACACTCAAAACACGCTTAAGGCTTCACCAAACACGAGACGAAAGTCTAAAGTTGGAGTTGACGATGATGGTGACCAGAAGACTGGCGATGATGAGAAAATCAGAAATGCTGTGAAAATCTTCAACTCTCCGTCTGATTACTCTCGTGTGAAATCTCGTTTGTTTGATCCTAACGCCAGTGGAAGTCAAACATATCTCAAACCTTCACCAAACACAAGACGAAGATCTAAAGTTGGTATTGAAGATGATGGTGATGTCAAACCCGGAGAAAACACTTCTGCTGAAGGAGAAAAACGAAATGGCGTGAAGATTTTTAACTCATCATCAGATTATTCTCATGTTAAATCACGTTTATTTGATGCCAATGCAAATCAAGTTAATTCTGAGAATCTACTCAAACCATCACCAAACGTTCGTAGAAAATCTAAAGTCGGCATTGAGGATGATGGAGATATCAGCAGTGATGAATTATCAGGAAGGCGAGGAAGTGTGAAGATTTTTAACGCTTCATCGGATTATTCTCACGTGAAGTCAAGATTGTTTGATGATGGCTCATCTAGCAGACGGTCGTCTCAAGTCAACTCACAAGATCTTGACGCAGTAAATGGAACTGAACCAGGGCAAGGCAAGGAGAATCAAGTTTCCAAAAGCCGCACTGATGTCAAGATATTTAACGCTCCATCTGATTACTCTCATGTCAAATCGCGTCTTAATGATTCCTCAAATAAAGCTGAGAATAAATTTAAGAGTAAAGTTCAAGAAATAAGTGCATTTGACGCACTCAAGAATAAAAGTACGAATGTGAGTGAAGAGGGGAACACGGACAACAAGGAAACTTCCACTACTGTTTGACAACAATAATTTGGATATTTCATTTTTTAAAAACTCGTACACAGTGAAGGTTATTAGTAGTACATGTAATATCTTACTTTATATAGATTAGACAAGTTGCATGTTAGCATGTCTTCCATTTTGTAACAAATAAATATAAAATATAGCTGTAACTCTGTTTGTGGCTGATATTGTTAAATATTTGTCTCGCTTCAAATAACTGTTAAATACTACCGCGCAGGGCTTAAAAAATAAATCAGTAATGCCATACGAGGTCGTACTCTCCGTACTAAATTGACGTAAGTTGAATCGATGTTGACATGCGATTTTGTGTACTAGTTTTCCTATAAAATTCCCGTATAAAAATACGTTTGAAATGCTAGATTTAAACGACGTAAACAAAGATGGCGGTCCGGAGTGAACTCAGTATTTCCAGATCAATATTTCATGTTTGATATTTCAGGATCAGCGTTAGAGACGAATATTTGTTGTCTGAAGGATTTTAATGCAAATAGAAAGGTTCAGCTCTACTGTGGGAAGTGTACGCGATCGTACTTGTCTGAAATTCTTGGCGTACGCCAAGTTTATAAATTTCAGCGTACAATCGTACGTCCGTATGCCTATTTTTTAAGCCCTGCCGGCGCACTACATACATTTGCAGTCATGGTGAAAATTCTGTGGATACTGCACTTGGGTCGACCACTAAATACACATGTTTGCATCATTCCACCCTCGCTCATTTTCAACTTTGAAAGGGGGAGCCCGAAATTTCCCCTTTTGAAAAGAACGTGAATGAATACTAATTATTAACGCATGCACTGCCTACAATAAAGTGAAAAGAATTTACGTCAATGTGTATATTCTACATCCCTTGGAATGTAAATGCGCCGTTTAACCCATGTTCGAGGCGGAGTCGAATTGTACAATACGGGCATGCACGTGTCCAAGGCGCTTAGACGCAAACGACTACATGTTGGACAATATCCTCAACTCTTGGCATTATTTACAATATTATGACCTCGAGTAACACGTCTAGTCATTATTTCGAGCAATGCCTTGACGTTCTCCTATATGCGTATGTTTGCCACATAACATGAATACATGATCAACGAGTAATGCAACAGAGAAAGACTCACAGAAATATTTTTGTTCATTCTATAATAAGCATGTAACTTTCCTTTTGTGCAAACATATAAAGACAGTAGATTCGCGCAACATCGGATTCGCGGGAAACCAGATTTGAGGAATGCTTGTAATGACTCACGAATGATGAACACTTATATCAGGCGAGGCTTTTTTATTCATTGGTTTTAATGGTTTACGGATCCGCCGACCGTAAATATTCGGAAAGTGAAAAATAAAAAAAAATTGGATATCAACAATTTTACGATTTTAGTTAATTTGGGGTTCTGAGATGAAGTGCACGCCAAGTAAACTTTGACTCTAAGTACTGCTGGCTCATGTTATCGTTGTGACAACCAAGATGGAGATAATTAGTCATGTTTGTACAACGTTAAAAAATTTAAAAGAGATTATTAAATTTGGTTCTCATTTATACTCAGTGTGTTTTTTAAAATTTTTTTCCGACCTATCGACCTGCTTTTTTTAAGTCAAATCCGTAAACCAATAAATTAAAAACGTCCCGCCTCAGTTTAAAACTTATAAATTACACAAAAATGTACATACATCTCATGGTTTTAAAGGTTTAAGACCAAGTTTTGCTCTCACTGCATTCGCTTCTTGAATTTCCATGCTCTCTTGACTTGCTTCAGACTTTCCTTCACGTCTGCTCGATTTCTTTGATTTGTGAGGCGACGGAGAACGGGATTGTGAACGACGGCGATGGCGCCGTGATGGCGAGTGATGACGACGAGCTGGCGAGCGACTCCGACTACGATGTCGGTGACGACGTGGTGAAGCACTGAAAAGGATAAGGAAAATCGTCACGACATGATAGTTTAATGTTTCGGGAGAATTGATATTGCTAATGACGGTATTTACCATATACTCGGCGTAATTTGATTGGTTGCTCAGCTCCAGATATTTATGCACTATTCATTTCCGGACGAAAACAAAATAGCTTCCCATGGCGTTTTACAGGCGAACAAATGTTTTCTACTGAACGAAGCTGCCACTCCGCCAAACACAAAGAAAGCCACAAAGAATATGTCGAGGTATTCTTAAAACTATTTCTAATGAATAAAATTACTAAAAGCGTGCATATACTCTTTTGTTTACAACTATTACGGCCTTTACAGGAGCTGTAATACAAATTTTTATGGTCATTTTTATTTTACTATGGTGTATAGCTACTGTATGCTAAAACAATTATTCACCTCAGTGTCAATCTACTGCAAAACTGTATATCCAGTATGTGAACGGATAGTTCTTACCTTCTTCTGCGAGGAGAACGTGATCTTCTACGAGGAGAGCGAGAGTGACTTCGTCTAGAAAAAAGAATAAGCGTCAATACATGTACACACGATGTTCTTGTGTATTTTGTTAAACTCTAGTTTCAGTGATACCACAGACAGCACAGTTGCAAGTTCTGTAAGAATAACGTTTCTTACCTTGACCTTGGTGAATGTCGTCGTCTTCGATGTCTGTCAGGACTCGGTGATCTGTGGCGTCGTGGAGACATCTAAAACAAGATAATCAGCAAAACAAGATTATTTAAACTTTTACAAATTGATTGCAATCTCTCTACAGACTCAGTTCAGTCCTCTATTGTAAATTGAGTGAATTAGCCTTTGTCACCTCCGATTTTCCCGCCATTTTTGGGGTACTGCCACGTTCGAGACACCACGAAATACAACTTTTTAGTATTGTACTTGTTTGTATAATGGTAAATTTACAGCTACAACTTTTTAAAAGTCGCTTTTTACGTTGTTTAAATTGTCCAGAATCTTTCACAAGGGCAGACAGTACCCAAAAAATGGCGGATTTTGGCCTTCGTGAGAAAGGCCAATTTATTAACCTATAGTATATCTTATTGGATTCTTCTGAGCCCAATATGGCAAAATATTAAATCAAGATTTCAATATTGGGCGAGACCGAAGGTCGAGCCTAATATTGAAGTCGAGACTTAATATTTTGGCATATTGGGCGAAGATGAATCCAATAAGAGTTTTATTATATCGAACAAAACAATTCTATAACAAAAAATTGTCAATAAGCGATAAAGTAATGCAGCGAGAATAATACAGTGACAACAACTACATATATCGGCGGAGAACTTGCTTAAATAACTAAACAAAAAGTTAATAAACTTGTTTTTCCCGCGCTTTTATATTTTTGACCAAAACCGGTAGAAAAAAACTGTATTAATGTCTCAAATTCTTTTCATTAGTCTATCATATCGCTAGACGTATGTTTGAAATTGACAAAACTTCTGAAAAGGGTTGAAAAACCATGAAAAAAAGCCACGATTCGCAACTGCCCAATAGGTTCCTGTCCAATATCGTAAAATATTGGATCGGCACATGACCCCCTCAACGATTACTGATTGGTTAAGTGCGCGTGAGTGTATAATAATATACACTTAATGTCTGCACCTGAGGGAAATAGTTAGTTTTGTTTTCCCGAGAATCTCAATGTTTCCCGAGACGAAGTCGAGGGAAACATTGAGATTCGAGGGAAAACAAAACTAACTATTTCCCGAGGGAAAAGACGTTAAGTGTTTTGTTATATAGCAACGAAACAAATATCAACATTAAACAACATTCATACAACAATATTTGTACTTCATGACAAAAACTCTATAGCGTAAATGAGTTTAAAATTTAAAAACCCCACTTAAATGGTTTCAGCAGCATATGCTGTTGCCTGTTATGTATTTTTCTTCTCTTTTACATTCTTTATTTTAACACAAAGCCACGAAAACAGTAGTTTAAATAGTATAAATTTGTGCCGCCATTTTGTTTATTTATGTACGTAGCCGGTCGGGGCGGGCAACAATTTTTCACTTATTGCCCGGGCGGGATACATTTATCTAAAGCACGTGACTACACAAATCAGCCAATCACGTTTGGTGTTCACACTAGCTATATAACAATACTTATTAGAGACCTCGTATATTATCAATCGTATGAATATAATACAGTCTTAGAAGTTGAAGACATGGGTTTTATGTACTAATTAAAAAACGAGCAGGAGTGTTTTATTAGGTCTAAAGCCACGAACGCGCAGCGCGAGTGGCTTTAGACCTAATAAAACACGACCCGCGAGTTTTTTAAATGACTTCAAAAACGTATGCATAATAAGTCAAATCTTTATATAAAAATCTTTATATAAAAATCTTTATATAAAAATCTTTATATAAAAATCTTTATATAGTTTGCATAACAATGGTCTTTTGTTAAAGTGTTCTTTAGCTGGTATAAAGACGTATGCACGTGACTAATTTCTTACTCAAGATTGGATAATTGCTTCATGAATTATTAATGAGTTTTTGAAGTTTGGGAAGAGTTCTGCTGAACCCAGTTTGAAGTTGCACTTGTTGCGGCTTGAAATGCAACCGTTGTATCTTGACGTGGAAATCTGTGATTTGGCGTTGTAAACAGAGCGATGACAATGTCTAAATTATTCATATATTGTAATTTATTCAATTATTTTCAATGATTTATTGTACTGGTAGCCGTTGCCGTCGCATTGCCGTCCTAAATCGTAAGGTCTCTACTATCTATCTAAATGACAACTTGACCAAACAATGCTGTAACACTTGTATTATACAGTAGTAGTAGATAATGTTGCCACAGGACTTTATGATGGACTTTATGGCACAAGTCTTTATTATTTATTTAAAAGATTCATGGTTTCTGATTTGCTAACAGCCAACTGTGAAATTGTCATATCAACTCAATAGCTGACCAGATACGGAGTTTTGACGTAATATTAAACATAGTGACGTCATTACGTTGGTATGAATAAATCAAACGATATGACGTCATGCTGTGGAAATACGAAAAGTGGAAACGAGACAAATGGCGCCGTCTTATGCCGTGGGAAGCAACCTTGAAAATGTAAAGTAGAAATACGAACGAGAATAGCCATGAAAGGTTTTGGCATTAACATCTTAACGTACTTATGAAAGAAAACAGGAAACGTTTT